ACTACAATATATAAATATCTTTGAGAAAGTCATTTTCAATCGCAAGCATTGATAGAAATAATAATGAGAAAAGATTAGAGAAACGATCAAACATGCAGTGAACGATCAAGTGGGTGAGCTGCTCGTTGCCTGTTTAGTGAACTGCAATGCTATTTACCTTCATATATAGTTGCACATGCTCACCACTTAGACGCTGGTAAAAATTCATATTATGGTTAACCTAGTCTTACAAGCCTTGTACAAATTCAACCTAAATCAATCGTACACTGACGTAAATTTCCAGACCCGTTTATCAATCTCATTCCCCTTTCGCTAAATATATTTTCAATAACATACTTTATGTAAATCAATACTTCCTCCGTTATAAAACAATAGGATTGTTTTTAGTTTGGACACACAATGAAAGTGCTAGAATTTAGGAGCGAGGAAAAATATGTTTTTGCCTACTTACCCCCTAGTAAATACCTTGAAAATTATGTAACACTTTAATATTTTTTTGTTAACAAAACTCTCTCCACTTAAATAAAGGGTAAAATTGAAAGAATGTCATTATTATCTTCTTGATTATGTAAACATTTCTGAGTTTGAAGCAATCAAAGTAAGCAGCGTATTGTGAAATGGAGGGAAGTAGCTGTTTGGGCTGCCTCGGCCTCAAATTACCATGAGTATGTTTGTTATTATTGGCAAAATTTTGATTATCTAAACGTGTTTTATTTTTAAAAAATTGAGGTATTTAGCTAAAAAATTAAAATAAGTGTTTTTGACTTTTGACCAATAGTAGAAATAGTTTTAGAAACTAAAAGAAGTGGATTTTCAATAAAGCACTTCTGAAATATTGAATCATGCTAGAATACTATTCTAATATTGAAAAAAAAATTATTATTTTTTTCAAATTGATTATTAGCGCACTTGAGTCTCTTTTCAAAACCACTTCGACCGAAAAAATATTTTCTAAAGAAGAAGATTTTGAAAACTTAGCCAAACAAACGAAGCGAGTCTCATGTACGATTTTCTTGCTGAAGAAATTGCTTCAACTTTTCAGATTTTTCCCGAAAAAATTATCTTAAAATTGTATTCATATCTCCAGATTGCACATGAATTCTACGGTTTCGTAACCAAGTTGGAATAAAGTAATTAGAATTTTACCGCATAAATGGATTTTTTGAAAAGACAAATGTTACAAGACAAACACTTAAAAAGACAACATTTTATGACGAGTATTGCCTTATCCAACTTTAGACTTTATCAGTTACAACTTGAAAAATGCACCTAACCTCCACGTTACTGTTCAACGAAATATATTTACTTGCGTAAAGTATTGCGCCATACCAAACAACTTAATTTCAAGAGCGACAAATGGCGAGCATACAATAGAACTTAATCATGATTAACTAATAAAATGTACATATGACACATATTTATATTAATTGATTTGATATAAACATCGACTACAAATACATTTACATTTCCCAATACTAGGCTGCTCTCAAGTCGTTGTGATCAAGTGGTTATAATTTTCTAATTATTATTTTCAAATTTTGTTTAATGAATCGCTAAGAATCAAGATATTAAATGGGGAATGGTCACGTGGTCGTAGGTGGCTGAAAGAATAGAAACTCTTATCAGAGAATAGAAACTGCCATTTTTAGATCCAATGACCTAAAAAAAATCATATTTTAATCAAGGATGTACACAAAACATTGGCAAACGGTTAGAATGCATCTTAAACAAAAAACTATTCAAACTCCCAACATATTAAAATAATATATTAGCATACACTAATTTCATTAGAAGATTGACTTGTCATTTTGTTTTTGATTTCCAGAACTCAGAAGAATATATAAAGGGTAGCCAACAAGAAGCACATCATGGGAGGTGTGAAAACATATCTCCATACACACACTTATAACTTTGTAGTCTCTTCGAGATCATAAATTTGGTCCTTAGCTTTGCATTTTTTAAGGGACAATATGGCCTCAAACTATGTCAATTTGCTCTAAGTTACTATTATCACAATCTAAACTTTGCCCAGAGACTTTTGCTAGAGGATTTTGATTAATTGCCCTGGAAAACTTTTACTAGAGAAATATGGATGACAAAAGTGATGTGGAAAAGCTTGATGAAGTGATGCTGCCTGGTTTTCGATTTCATCCGACAGATGAAGAGCTGATTTGAGTTCTATCTGAAGAAAGATTCAACAAGATCTCTTCTATTGAGCTCATCAAGCAGAGTGGATATATAAATATGATCCATGGGACCTTCAAGTAAGAAAGACACTCATGTCCACACTCTTTAGCTTCATTTTCCATTTCTAATTTCCTACTAGCAAATAAATTGTTTTACTTTTCATGTTACTGATCTAACGTTTATGGACAGTTTAAATATAGTTAATTTTTTAGGTGATCTAATTGTGTAAAGATTCTTTTACACTATCACCATAGGAGTTAAACTCAAAAGAACTACAGAAAACTGCTTGAACATTCTTCAGTAGCTATCTGCTGCAGTCACTGAAAATGAATCAATATGTTTAAGAATATCTGGGCATTAACTTGTCCAGTTCTGAAACGAAGTTAGAAATTTTTAAAGTAAAAGTTTGTTTCCTTCAGAATCAATATTAAGCTTACACCTAAAGAAGATTTGACACTTTTGTTTATATCATTCTTAATCAATTATGAGGCATAGTCTAATATTTCCTTGTCATACCATCTTTTGTCCAGAGCTAGCGTCCACAGGAAAAGAGTGGTACTTTACTGCCCGAGGGACCGTAAGTACAGGAATCGCGCCCGCCCAAACCGTGTAACAGGGCTGGTTTTGGAGAGGCCACTGCTGGAACTGACAGGCCAATTTACTCCTCCGGATAGTACCAAATGCATTGGTCTTAAGAAGTCTCTAGTCTTCTACAGAGGCAGAGCAGCCAGAGGCATAAAAACTGACTGGATGATGCACGGAATTTAGGCACCTACAACTTCTAGTGAGTCCAGACCACCTAAGAAATTCTTGGATAAGAATTTTCCACCAAATGTGGAGTCAACTGTAGCTTAATTAGCACTGCAGACTTTATTTATCTTAGTTTAAACTGATATATTCTCTTTGGTCCTGCAGGATTCATGGGCCATCTGCAGAATATTCAAGAAAACCAACTCAATGGCAAATAGAGCTCTATCTTACCCTTGGATAAATCCGTTAACTGAAGTAGCATCTCCAGAGTTGTTCAATCAAAGTGCAACTGCTCGTTTCGGCTCGAGGAGAATGTCCTCTTCTATAACTGAAAATGGATCAGGTCTACCTATCCAGTAATAATGACTTACTACAAGGAGCCTCAAATGTTCAGCTATATAAGGCCCTCAATACTATGGTTTTCAAGACCATCTTATCTTTCAGTCTAACCTTGGACATTTGGTGTCACTTCATGTTTACCCCCATCCTGAGGTTTCAGGACAAAGCAACAGGTGTTTACTGGACCCACGAATTCCATGTTTTTCAACACATCCCGGCCTTAATCACTGATATCCAACCAAGACCTCTAGAGACATGGAGCTTTGAGTCCAAATCAACAGCTGAACAGCTTCTCAATTGGCCATACCAAAGTGCAAAGAAGTATAAGCGTAGAAGATGATGATGAGCAGGATTAAGGAGTAATCAAGCTTCCAGCAATGATAATACTCGGTGGGAAAACATCAGATCAGTTGGATTCCTTTCAGTTTGACCACTGGTTTGGCTGATGAATGGAAGCCTAGTTTGTCATAAGGATTCTCCTCCTGTCCTAGTGAGATATCCACCAGTTTCTCAACAAACAAATGCTACAGCTAGTTCTACACCCAAACAGAGAACCTCCTGGCTTTGTGTGTAGCTAGTTCCCTTCCCTTTCGGCTTCCGGTATCCGAGTTAGTTGAGTCAGTTGATTTCCAGATACCGGATGCCAATGGGAAAAAAAACAGAATCTACCCATAGCGCTAAAAAACAGTGATATTCTGTTATAAGTTATTGTACAGCTTTATGTTTATCAACTCTTTTGGCTTTCCTCAAATTTAAACTAATATGTTTGGATAAGATTTTCATATTTCCTATAGAATTATGTTTTCTATTGCATGTTTTCCCTTTCTCTATCTCTCCTTTTTTTTTTGCTTGCAAGCTTCTAGTATCAGATTAGATACTGTTTAAAGCCTAACAGGCAAACACACACACACACTGCTACACTGGTTAGAGAGTGACGGTTTATTAACTCTCTAAAGCCCGAAATTACTGGGACGAGCAGACCGTTTTGTAACCCTAAGATGGCAGAAACTGAACCTTTGTTTATATAGATCAGAGCTCGTTCAAAAAGATCCTAATTGTACATTCATTTATGGATCAAAGTCATCAAAACTCAACTCGTTCTAGGTTGTTTTCCAAAGGAAAAAACAGTCTTCTTTTACTTATTTGAGATGATGTTTTTAAGCTGAGAAAGGTGGCTAACAAATTGGATAAATAGCAGTTAGATCAGCCAGGCTAGAATAAGATTAGATCAAACGTAATCCTTATCATAGAATTACCAAGATGAAAATAATCTTTCTTAATTAGCAGGGAGATGTCTAAAGGCATATATAGATCAGCAATTAGTTGAATTAATGACGCCGAAACTACACTTTCACCTTAGCGATATGCCCGGCCGTATGTTTTCTGCACTGATTGGCCTGCTTTCCTTCAAATTTAGGTCAAATGGTTTGTGAATCAGTGCCTGAGGTCTAAGAAGTAAATATGATATGACGAGGACTGAGGAGACGTGCAGATATCGTTTTTAATTTCTGCGGAAAAGAAGTTGAAAAAGAAAATGTCGAGTGGTTTAAGACCCACGCCCTCTCACGAGGACCAGAACTTGAGTCTGGCGCCTTAGATATCAGCCACCCTGACACGTTCACTAAATAAGCAACCAAACATATAAGACCAAATAACACCAAACATCCAAGACGAACTACCTTCAGTTTTATGTATTAGAGTTAAAATGTAAAAATAAAAACAAAGTCAAGATGGCCGAGTTGGTCTAACGAGTTGGTCTAAGGCGCCAGTTTCAGGTACTGGTCCGAAAGGGCATGGGTTCGAATCCCATTCTTGACATTATTTTTGAACTTTTTTACCTTTTAATCGTACAAAATTAAAAACGCTTGGATACCATTCGAGCTTGTGGAACTCTTTTACCTTTTAATCATAGAAAATCTAAAATTTTAAACTTTTTTACCTTTTAATCGAAAGAAAATTCACCCTAAAACATAATTCGAACCAGCCTAATTCAGTACCGAGGTGAGTATAAGCACTCGTGTGTTTGAATGTCTTATGGCACTTACGCTCGGGACAGGCTTTTTTGGAAAATATAACTCATCACAAACACATCCTCAGTCATTATTCGGGTTTGGATCTACACAATTACTCTTCTTTTGTGTTAAGCTCCTACGTTTGCTTCAAAAGTTACCAATTTCTCTCTTCTGATACCCTAAATTGATACCTTCTCCAGCGTAATTTAACTATCAAGTGATTCAAGGGAATCATCAAATTAAAAGTACATTTAATCTTCCACTCATAACTTACTGTGGCTTGCAAGGACATCCAACTCTGGTTCCTTAGAATTTCAAGTTAATAGTAATTTCCTATGACTACCACTCTTGCATCTCATCCGAAAAAGAGAACTTTCTTGATTGAGTATTAATCAGAACAGTAAAATAAACTTGAGTTATCATGCATTAAAGTATCAGCGAACTTGGAAAGAGGAAACAACCTCCTCTCCAGTCAGGTGGCAATAGTTCCAAAAAGGAGTTTACAAAACCATACTAGAGCTTAAATTCTAATAGAAATCTAGTACTTCCATTTCAACATGTTCTTTCACACATATTCATCATCATCAAAGCTAAATTATCTGAAAACATAATAGAATTGATAGAGAACTTCAGTGTCACTACCCTCAGCTCTTTGAAGCTAGTTTTTCCTTTGCCTTCTGAATCTTCAACACCTTTTTCACAATTTTTTGTTCTTCAACCAAGAAAGCTCGGATGATTCTGCATAAGGTAAATCATGGACAGATAATGTACTTGTGCCGAAGAACTCTGAGTTAAGTATATCAAAAGCAAATAAGCAAATTTACTGACAGAAAAGGCATACCTCTCCCTTACAGCATTTCCAGACAGCACGCCTCCATAAGCACGATTCACAGTCCTGCGGTTTCTTGGCAATCTGGACCTCTTGTATTCAGCTGGTCTCAAGTGTGGAATCTAAACAAGATAGAGAAACACATCAATAAATAGTGGTTGCTTAAAGGTCCTTTTTGAACTCAGGGACAGAAAGAGAAGAGGGAATAAAATAAGTTTATGTTTGGGTAATTTCTAAGTGTTCTCACTGTAGCAAAATGACGACTGCTAAACCCACAAACATGAATTCAACTAATCATGGGGTAGGGATATGAATATTTAATGGGTATTTATGAACCCTTTACCAATGTCCTCACTTCCGTCACCAAACATATAGACTCCATCAACCATAATTTCCTTTTGGCTAGATTTTCTTGCTTGAAGATTGTAACTTTTTTGTCTAACATTCATAATAATTCAAATTAAATATCCTCAAGAAGGTTTCATACTGTCTTTTTGCTGTATATGTAAACAGTACACAGAAAAGACTTTAAAACTATCTTACACATAAGAGGCTAGGATCAAAAAGAATTTATTTCCATACACTAAAAATGGGATAAAAGGGACATAGGCCAGCAATAGTACATTCACTATTAATCTGGAAAACAAAAATAAAAAATGATCAATTTTGTAGACCATTAGCTCGATAAGAGCCTTCAACAACTGTGCCACTAAAACCAAAGCTCTATTCTTTTGTTTGCTAAATGCAAGGTCATTCAAATTTAAAGACATGTTTGAAGATGTGAGGAGCTGGGGCAAGAAATGTTTGTCTATATACAATAAACAAGGTCTTGCAATTTTGGTAGTTGGTAACTATGTCCTTTAGCAGAAACAGTGTGATCCTCAGCTTGTTTATGGATAAGTGCCTTTAGACAATTATACAGTTATAAATACTTCCTTTGTGCAAGAGCTTTAGTCTATCCATTAGCCAAGTTCTAAAGGGTAAAACAGAAACCAGTTAATTGCATAACCTTTTAGGATTGTCAGCTGTCTGCAGGGATGAGATAAAAAGTACCCTGAGGATCGCATACTGAAAAGAACTGAAACATAAAAAGACCATAAAGGGAACAATGAAAATTACCCCTTGGATTCTCTTCCCAGTAACTGGACATTTAGGGCCGCTGGCTCTCTTCTTGGTGGTCTGGTAAATTAGCTTTCCACCTAGTTTTCAAAAAAAAAAAAAAAGTAATAATAATAATAATGGTACATCAGTGATCACATAACTGAACACACTCAATGCACTATACAACAAATTCCAGTGGCGAATGTACATATAAACTACTAATCAAAACTAACCAAATCGAACTATGTATACTCCAATATGATTAGGATAAGTATGCACACTAATTTAAATTCATAATCTACCCCGCTTCAAACAACAAGCAGAATATTGAGGCAAATCCAAATAAATAAATAAATAAAAAGGGGGGAAAATAATATGTTACGGCATCGAGCAATTTACCAGGAGTTTTGACAATCCTGTGTTGATTGGATTTGGTGGCATAACTGTGCCGCTTTCGATATGTAAGTCTCTGAACCATCTTATGAAGTAGGTACAGTTTTTCCGCGTCTCAATAATGGAGATAAGAATGGATCAAAAGAGTGAACAAATTCTGAGGAGATGCATATATATATGGTGGGGGTATGGCGGTACTGTAGCAAACCCTAAATCCTCAGGCCTCATAATTTATCTGTTTTCCAGAAATGGCCATCTAATTATGAGAATATTGCAGAAGCACCTCTCTTATATGGGTAAACAAGGGGGGGGGGAAGAAAAGATCAGTTCATTTTATTTTTCTAATACATTGAAAATTACTAAATAGAAGTTAAAAAAATTTCATAAGCTTCTATCGTTGGGAGCAAGAATTTTATTTCATAGTATCTTCTCATACTAGGAAATCTTTTTTATGTATATAATTTTGTATCTCATTTTTGTATTTTTATTGCAAAAAAATTCATAGATAATCTTTCTGAATTTCTTCTATCCAATTTTCTTATATTTGTGTTGGATCATCTTCTTTAATTCTCTCACTTACACACTAATCTTTAGATCTAGATTTCTCATACACAAGAATGACATAAAATTTTGAATTTTCGTCGTAAAAATGTTCATCGATGTCCGTCGTTTTCTCTATGGAAGATTTCTTTTTCAATTTATTTATTAAAAATCAATCGCACCGGAAATTGTTATCTTGTTTTTTATTTCGTTGTTAAAAAAATCAACCACATTAAAAATCTCTCAGATCTAAATATGCTCAAGAAAGAAAAGCTCGTTATATTTCGCTTATATTTTTGTATTCTGATGATGGAGAAATTTTTCAGCACCAAATTTATTGCCTTACTATAACAATTCAACATAATTTCAATCACTGAAAGTTAATATTGATGCTCAAAAAGTGTGTAAATCATTAACCAGTCCTGACATACAAAACTCCTCTGTTTTGGATGATTGCATGTCCACCCCTTAAATATTGAGTAATCCTACGATATATCTACGGAAAACAAAATAAGTTTGTTGAAAACTGAAAAATGTCTCATATAATAAAATTGGTAGTCTCTTTATATGGACTTGAGCAATCCTCCCTCATAAGCTAGTTTTTGGGATTGAGTTAGATTCATGATCCATTTCTTAACATAGTATCATAGCAGAATCTATTTCACTCGATGTTAGGCTTCCAAAATTAAATTGTCCGCACACCAAATGTCTAGCCTTAGGCATGAGGTGAAGTATTGAAGAATGAAAAATATTTCACACAATGAAATGGATGATCTCGTAATATCGATTTCGACAATACTCCGTCGGATTGAGTTAGCTACATGTGATCCATTTTTTAACAAAACTAGCAACGATTTTGATACGTAACATAGAGAGTGTTGTGTCGTACACAGTGTAGGTATAACTGGTAATGTGGTGGCATGACCACAATTACTTTTTCTACAGACTATTTGATATTATATGCAATATAAGTATCTCCTTTTATAATTTAAAAAGTTTATGTTTTTGTTTTTTAAATTAATTTTCAACCAAAATTTGTAATTTGGGCTTCAAAAATGTCTTTCCATTTCGTGGACAAGAGAGGGTAAGTTGGTCAATTTAATATAGAAGTGACGGGTTGATGCAATAGTATCGGGTCGGGGCATGCTATCAAGAGTAAAGTGTAAACTAGATTCAAGAATTAAAATGGGTTCCAAATTATCCAAAAAAATAAAATAAAATCAAGGATATCTAGCTTTCTTCAAGAACAGTAGCAGATTGTGATACAATATGGAGAAAGGGGAAGATGCTGAATTGCAGAGCTCCAACCACGAAAGAGATGCGAATGTTTTAGAGTTTATGGATTCCACGGACAGCTATCTCGTTCTTATGAATTCTTTGTCTTCCTCACTTCGCCAGGTTACAATTTCTCCTGTTCTTTCTTTATCACTCTTCTAAGATTTCGCGTATTTTTCTCCAAGTGAAAACATCTGAACGCTAAATAATATAGATACAGGTTCATCTCTAATCTTAGCTATTCCTAATTTAAACTGGGATGCATCTTCCCCCAACAGTCTCAGAGGCGGATCCAGAATTTAGTGTAAATGGATTTGTAGTTATGCTTTATATGTGTATATATACTGAATGCATAGGCTGATATGCAATTGGATGAATATTCAAGTTGGTGCAAGTGACAGCTATATTGATCCGAGAATCTGCTATAGTATTGACCCTGCATTTCCTTACTTACATGGCAGGGATGGCTGGAATTGGCGAGTGCTAGGCATTCCATGGGTGCTTCACGTATCAGTAGTGCATTGTTTGATCTCAAATCTCATTCTGCTGCCACTACATTGCAATTAAACCATCAGATTGGTAAATCCATACTTTTTTGCAGCATATATGCCTTTTGCTTGACTGCACACAATATTGCCTGTTATATGTTCATTTTGCAGTGGAATTTC